TTATACTGAAACAAATAGGTATTAAATTGTGCGGTGTAATTTATAAGTAAATACTTAATTTGTGGCAAGACTGACACATATTTTATAATGATTTTTTACAATTGTGGCAGTAATCCACTATACTTATTACTATGATCACAAGTCAAAATTCAAGTTTTTACCAAATATTATCTTTTAAACTTAACGGTTGTGTTCTTACGCATAGTAACTTGGCTTGCAGCGAGCTAGAGAAACATTTTACATTTGAAATCAAAGATATGGCATTAATTTACTATTTTTTTATGGATTTCACAGGCCAAAGTTTCACTTTTTGCCAATAAATTACAGGGGGAGGCATTTCATTAGCTAAAACATAGTTTTACAAGTAAGGTGTGTACATATGTTGGTACAAAGGTGATATATATCCAGTAAAGCAACTGATTTTATGTGAAAGCTCTGGAATTTGAAATGATTTTATCATTGTTTACATTTTTTGTGTACAAGTGTTACGGCAGGGAATGTATGTAATTACTCATGGATTACCTTCTTCATGCTATATATCATGTAATTCCCGTATTAAGGATCATTTCTGGTAACCAAATATTCATATTTAAACGTCTGATATGCCTGGTATACATAGGGAAATACTTTAACTGCAATTGTTTACTGACCGGCGATTTTGCCGTCTGCCATTTTGTGGGGAATGAAACGTTGATTTTATCTCTTTTGATACAAATTCGTCCCCTGGACAATTGATCTAATATTGCATTTTTAATACCACACATTTAATATTTTATAAGTATACCCTGCCGGACACAAATATATTGTAAATATTTAGATGGTTGTAATGAACTATGTTATATGTTATTTACTTTGTATGTTCTTACGCAGATCGTCTGCTAAATCAATGCGCGCGCAGTGGTGTCCGATTGTTTATTTCAAGCTTCTTTATCGATATTTTAGATGCTATAGCTTTGTTTTAATATTTTATGTATAAGGACAATCATAGGACAACTCCAGATGATTTCAATTCTATGTTTTTCAATATCGTAATTTTGTATAGTTCCGGCTACCCGGAAAGGACAAGTAACCATTGGATTAGTATGTCACGTGACACTTACAATTTAGTATATAAACGTGTGAGCATTCAGTAATGGCAGATAGCCCAAAGTTTTGCTGGCGGCAAGTTTGAACCTAGAAAACAATAAATTTCCAAATAAAGCAGTAATAACCTTTAGGTGAGAATTAGGATAACATAATGAAGTTTAAATAGCCGTCTTTTGTACAGTAAGCTATCTCCCACCACGTCGGACACCACAAATATGTATTTTAGGATTTATTATTCAGTACACTTGAACGCTATTGTTTATTTATATAAAATCATATAATGTTATATGATTTTTTTTAACAGTTCAGCAAATAAAACTGTTAGCATTGAAAAGATCACTTTATTTTATCAAACTTGGATACATTCAAAAAGTATTTGCATTTACACTGGTAAAACAACTTGAGCTGGAGGACGCTCGTTCGAAATTAAAAACTATGGAAAGCCGTTAGCAACACAAATAGCACAGTAACAAATAAATACAAAGGAAGCCGTTTAATACACATACATTAACCAAACAGAGGAACTATATTTAAACACAAACTGAGGTGCTCCGGGGAGCAGATACTGCATTTTATGAGTGTTCGTATGTAAACTGCCCAGTATAGGACAGGATACTCTCGGGTGGCTTACAGTATAGTCAAAGTTATGGTCTGAGTAGGGTGAAATGTCTGTCTGTAGAATGTTACCTTCTTAATTAGCACATTAAAAATGTAACTCAGCATGTCAGTCTAAGACTGAGTATTATATAATTTGGAGTTTATAAAGAATTCTGGAAAAAAGACTAGTACAAAGCATGGTTCAAATTCATATTGCATTAATATGTTCTCGTCCTGATATGCATGCAATCTTTGCCACTGGACATAACCACCAATCCATCATCATTATATAGATATCTATTCTTTTTAACCGGATTTCCAAAGGAAAAAATTGGTTATTAATTTGTTGATGTTTGTCGGGCTGCTGGGCAGGCGGCTGCCAAACAGTGTCTGTGCAATTACTTGAAAACGCTTTGACAAAATCTTTTCAAATTTAGATGTCCTGTGATATAGGTCCAGTGATCTCCCCGGGCCGTTTTAGCGTCGCAGCACCATGACGCTATAATTTTTGTCTGTGACGTTATAAAAATTTCCGCGACGCTATAATTATTTTGATTATCCTATTTTTTCTTGTCACTATACATTGCCGCAAAATGAATGTCCTTATTTTTAAACTTTCATCTAATTACCGCTTGTGATCATGAAAATTAAATCACCTTTAATTGTAATCCATTCATGTCTGACAATAGAGGCAATTAAGAGTGATTAAATAGGTGTTAATTGCCCTTTGGGTGATAACTGTTTGGATACAAATACCTCAAGCTGACAATTACGACATGACTAATAACATGTGGTCCAATTGCAAATTTTGACATTGAGAAAATGGAATCAGAAAATCATAAATTCGAAATCTACGTTTGCACCATGACATAACCGTCTCCCAAGAGAAGAAAAAAACTACCTGAGGTACCTCTATGTTGACAAAATGGCTGACCAAACCAAGTTGTAAAATTTCGCAATGTCGATTAAACAGCAATTTTTCATTTATAAGTAAAAATATTCAAAAAGATATGAACGAGTTAATTCCCTTCGAAAAGAGGTGAAAGCACTGACTTTACAGATTGGTCGTATGTTATTTCAAACTAACAACTTTTAAAGAAGTATTTTCTTTCCTTTCCGGTACTTGTCGAGAGTGTACATTAAACATTCTGATTTTCGGCAAAATAAGTTTGATACTTCATTAGAACGTGATGAATATTGCCTTTTGTTAATGTTTCATCCATTTATTGCATTAAAAGCGTCATATTCATTCCAAATCGCTTGTCAAACATTGTTTATTTTTCGTCAATTTTTCTTCTCGGCGGCCATTGAAATATTTATATACAAACTACGGATCGAATGCAGGATTCATCGGAAGCGGACCAGCTATGACCAAAATCCACATTCTTAAATCAGCAAACAGAATAATAATGATCCCAAAAGGGAAAACTATGCATTCCACACGCATTAACAGACTTTTTGTTATATCTCCTTGTTAAATGTATTTATTTTTATGTAAATGCATTGTTTCAATTTGCTGATTAAAGTAGCTTAACATTGTTAAAAACATATCTTTTTGATAAGAAAAAACTGGGACTAATACATTGAGTCCCAGGAAACAATGAATTTCATAAACATGATAAACAGAATAGTTTTTTAATTGAAATTTTATTGATATATGATACTTTTTTTTCCTTTTTGATGTAAAAAAAAGTTCTTTTTTGTACTATTATTTAGTTGGTAGTTTCTGACAAGAGGAAAAACATTATTCTGCTATAAATGAATATAGAAGACATAAACTGAAACAGCTGTTTAAACTCAGTTATGATTTGAACAATATAAACATTATATTTAAAGGAAATAGAGCATCGCCGCGATGCGAGAAATGACATTAAAAACATACAATTTATATTATTTATGCCAAATGTGATGCTATCCCAAATTTCTGGTGAGAAAACTGAGGTCAAGTTTGATTTTCACTATTTTAGCTTTTATCGTTGTTGAGTTGTAGACCCTTAAAAAAGTATCAAAAAGTGATACTTAGAGCATTGTCTGTGCAATAACTTGAAAATGCATTGACAAAATCTTTTCAAATTTAGATATGTTGTTTCCTATGACTAAATGAAGTCTAAGTTCGATTTTCATGATTTTAGCTTTTATCAGAGTGGAGTTTTAGACCTTTAAGTGGCAGAAAGTGATACTTAGAGCATTGACTGTGCAATAACTTGAAAATGCTTTGACAAAATCTTTTCAAATTTAGATATGTCGTTTCCTGTGACTAAATGAAGGTCAAGTTCGATTTTTATGATCTTAGCTTTTATCAGTGTGGAGTTGTAGACCTTTAAGTAGCGAAAACGCTTTGACGAAATCTTTTAAAATGTAGATATGTTGTTTCCTGTGACTAAAAGAAACTCAAGTTTGAATTTCATGATTTTAGCTTTTATTGTTAATGAGTTATAGACCTTTAAGTAGTGGAAAGTGATACTTAGAGCATTGTCCGTGGGATAACCTGAAAAGGCTTAGATAAAAATCTTGTGATACTTTGAAAAAACAAGACAGCAACTGTTTGAAAGTGGGTTTCTGAAAAGTTATCGGAGTAACCACAAGATTCTATGGTTTCATATTGAATAAGGTTATAATCTCATAAACATATTTCCTTCATTATAGACTTCATGATTTCTGCCTACTCACCCCTGCTGAACAAATGTGTGAACTTATATACTCTCTTACAGCTCTTTTCATAATGCTAGCAAGACAAAAGTTTGTTTGACTTGCTTGCTTTGTTTGTATAAATGTTTGCTCAAGCATTGTAATTAAGATTGACATCTGCAAACAATATAAGTAGGCGGAGTTAAATTTGATTATTTGATAATGTCCAATCAAATTTAAATATAATGTATACAAGTTTAAATCCGCCTTTTTATGTTGTTTTCAGATGTCAATCTTAATTAAAATGCTTGAGCAAACATTGATACAAACAAAGCAAGCAAGCCAAACAAACCTTTGTCTTGCTAGCATTATGAAAAGAGCTGTAAATTCCAATATTATGTCACTTATGATAAATAGGAGGTCAAGATTGATTTTGGCCTTTCCATTTTTGAACCCTACAAAAAATCATTTTTTTTTTTATTGATACTGTTTAAGGGTCCATTTTTGCAAATATCATTTTCATGCAGGAAAATCTAGTTTGCTGTCAATCTGACAGCCTGTTGTTATTAAATATATATATTTGCATTGGATCTCTGTCTTATTGGCATACACACTGAATCTTTAGTTATTTATATACCAGGTGTTAATTGTGTATAGTGAAAGATGTGATATTTATTTGTGTATTGCAGAACTGGGTTGTTGGAAAGTATGGGAGAGTATTACCAGTAGTGTATATCAGGAATAAAGACAAGAAAAAGATATCCTTTGTAAACAGATTTTTACTTGTTTAAAAGAGAAAGTAGCTTTGTAGACATTGAAGTCATAAACCACTGTCAGACCTGAATTGAGAGTGCATAATAAGTTTTGGGGTACCAATCCATTCCTATATATAGTTTAAAGTATTAAGTAAATCTTGAATCAGGGTTTACATGGAAGCAGTTTAAATTTTTGATATTGAACAGTTGAATTATCTCCACATAAAAGGAAACTTTTACATAAGTATTGCAAAAGAATGAGGATAACTGTACTTTATTATTAGCTATTTGTAAGTTAATCTTGATCTCCTCCAGTTTTTGGTGGGGTTTGTGTTGCTCAGTCTTTAGTTTTCTATGTTGTTTTTATTTGTGTACTGTTGTTCGTCTGTTGGTCTTTTTCTTTTTTAGCTATGGCATTGTCAGATTATTTTCGACTTACGAGTTTGAATGTTTGAATGTCCCTTTGGTATCTTTTGCTTCTCTTTTAAGAAATACAAATATCCATTTTATTATTTCAGCTATATGTTGATTGAAAAAACCAGTTTGTCACGCCAAAATCCATCCTTTACATCTACTGTGGATTCATTTATTTTCATGGATTGGGGAATGATCGTATTTTCATTAAGACTTGATTTCGTGGTTTTGTCAGAGTTTGCATACATGTTTAAACGAATTTTGTACTTCGTTGTACATTTAAATTCGTGGTTCATCTATACCAACAAAATCCATGAAAATTGGTTCTCCATGATTAAAAATGAATCCACAGTATTAAGTTTAACATACAATACAGTCATCTCCAAAGTAATATGTTATTATATTGCCGTTCCTAATTCAAGATTTTTCAGAAATTTTCCTTAACCATTTGTAAGTGGTAAAAGTAGACCCATCAAAGTTTTGCCACAATGTGAAAAGAATGAAAGAAGAAGAGACAACATCTGTGTCAACTAAGAAACATCTTACTTTAGAAATCGAGGATGTTGATAGCGAGATTGTCAGAAAACGAAAGGGAGAATTCCCAGAATGGACCAGTAAACCAAACAAACAGAAAAAATATGACTTTGAGGCGCTAAAGGAGAAATACTTAAACAACAAAACTGATATACGTTCAGAAAATTTGAATAAAGAACCTGACTTTGAGGTTGTATCTAAGGATACAGTTGTTTCCCGGCTTGGTCAGACATTTGACAGTGACAACAGTGATTCAGACTCTTACTATAAATCACTGAAGGATTCAAGGTCAAAGTCTTTTTCAAAAACATATTTGTCTGAATCATCTGATGGATATAACTCAGATGTAAGCAGTGATGAAAGTGTTTCTTGTAGTGGTGATGTTGATTTAGATGTATCTGATTCCAAAACCAAGCAAAATGGTAAAATTTCTCAGAAAGACAACATGGAAAACATTGATGTAACCAAATTCAGATTCAGTAATTACAATGAACTTACAAGTAACTATGTCCAGGAAAAAAAGTCAAAACCCAAGATTCAGCCATTTAAGGGAACTAAAAGATTGTATGAAAAGACTGAATCAGATACTTGCAAGGGTACAAACAGATTAGAAAGTAATCCTGCAAAAGCATTTGATACTAAAATAACTCCAAACGTAAAAATTAGTCCTTGTCATAATACAAGAGATAATTTTGAAAGTAAAAAAGAAGACCTATTGATTCAAAAGAATAAATCTAATAAAACAGAACGTTCAGTAACACCTTTGGTGTTAAAAGACATGAAGAAAAAATCACAAAAACCACCATCACAAATATTTCCTCATGGAGATGATGATGGAAATGTTTCTGCATCATCTGCTGATACTGATGAAATTATAAATAAGTCAAAATGTATGTCACCCATAGAAGATACAGATCGTATGTTTAACAACATTTTTGAATTTTCTCCATTGCTTTCATCTAAAGGAAAGAATTCTGGGAAAATTGATGGATCAACAGTAGGTGAATATTCTAGTGGTTTGATTAAAGGAGAAATTCATGAAAATGAAAATTCAAGTGAAAACTTTTCAACAGACGACAGTGATGAGAGTGACTTTGAAAAATTTGCATTGAAACAGTCGCAGAAGGCTAAGGAAATGAATAAGAAAGAACCTGCAAAACAAGCTCCATTGGTGAAAAAGAATGAAATAGAAAATTCTAGTCAGAAGACAGATAAAGTTTTGGAAAATTGTAAATTGAATGTCAAGTCTAGAATTGAAAGAAAATCAGATATGAATGAAGATGAAGCAAAAGACGATGATTCTTTTATTAATTTCCAAAATGATTTAACAAGTAAACCTTTAAAGGGAAAAAATATTCAAAATGAAAAATTATCAAAGTCCCTTGTGAATAATGATGACAAATTAAAGGAAAAAACGAGTGAAACACAAAATTTCTCCAGTAAAAGCACAACGAAAGAAAAGAAACCTAACAAAGACACAAATGAGAAGAGATTAGAATCTCTAAAGCAGAAACAAAAGGAAACCCTTGCTAAAAAGTCTGCCATTCAGAATGCCTTAGCTAATATTGTAAGTATACAAATAGCTGCATGAGTAATACATGTATTTTAATCGGGAAACCCAATTTGGGGTTTCTGAAAAAAAAGGTAATTTTTAGTTTAAATATGAATAAGAAGATGTGGTATGAGTGCCAATGAGATAACAATCCATCCAAGTCACAATGTGTAAAAAGTAAATAATTATAGGTCAAAGTAACATTTTTATCATTTTGTAGATACATGTATCTTGAACAGTTGAAGAAGTTAAAGATATCCATGTTTATTTTTCATGCCTCTATGATATTGTTGAAAGAAGTGGAAATAAAGTCCAGGTGGAAAAAAACTTACTTTAAATAAAGCTAATACTTACAATGACCACTGCCCTTTCCTCGATCTTGATATCTATATCATTAATGGAAAGCTTAATACTAAAATATATGATAAAAGAGATGATTTTTCATTTCCTATCGTTAATTATCCATTTTTAGATGGTGACGTTCCCTTGTCACCATCTTACGGAGTTTATATATCTCAACTTGTACGATTCGCTCGTGTATGTAACAATGTTTTAGATTTTAACGAGAGAAATTTTTGTATTACTGAAAAATTATTACACCAGGGTTTTCGATATCACAAACTAGTCAAAACATTTACTAAATTTTATCATCGGTATAAGGACATCATTCGTAAATATAGCTCAACATGCAGACTTCTTATACGTTCAGGTATTTCACATCCAATTTTTTATGGAAATATTCTTTATAAAGCACAAAAATGTCAGTATTCACCTCTTAAGCTAACAAAACCTTTAAATAGACTTATTAAGAAGGGATATAGTTACGATACTGTTGTCAGGTCATTAAAGATTGCATATTTTGGCGTTAATATTGATTCACTTATAGGGTCTTTGCATCGGCACTAAACACAATTATTTAAAAACCAGTTGTTGGCATGACACGGGTTATGTTCTTCTCATATATGTTATGATGGTATGATACTAAACCCCTAACGGGAAGGATTGTGCCTGATATTCATATGATGAAGACATAATCTTTCAATCAGTTTAATTGAAGTCTGGAGCTGGCATGTCAGTTAACTGCTAGTAGTCTGTTGTTATTTATGTATTATTGTCATTTTGTTTATTTTCTTTGGTTACATCTTCTGACATCAGACTTGGACTTCTCTTGAACTGAATTTTAATGTGCGTATTGTTATGCGTTTACTTTTCTACATTGGCTAGAGGTATAGGGGGAGGGTTGAGATCTCATAAACATGTTTAACCCCGCCGCATTTTTGCGCCTGTCTCAAGTCAGGAGCCTCTAGCCTTTGTTAGTCTTGTATTATTTTTAATTTTAGTTTCTTGTGTACAATTTGGAGTTTAGTATGGCGTTCATTATCACTGAACTAGTATATATATTTGTTTAGGGGCCAGCTGAAGGACGCCTCCAGGTGCGGGAATTTCTCGCTGCATTGAAGACCTGTTGGTGACCTTCGGCTGTTGTCTGTTCTATGGTCAGGTTGTTGTCTTTTTGACACATTCCCCATTTCCATTCTCAATTTGATTCTTGTCATTTTCCTACATACATGTAAATTAACTATCTTGTTCCAGTGTGTTCAGCTACCTCAAGTTCTTTCCTTCAGTAATTTTGACTTTTACATCATGAGTTAAAACCCAATTGACATGTTTGAGATATTTATAACACGCTATATTATTTTATAATCTGTATTCATTGTAAAAATGATCAATAACACTTTGATATGATTATTTTAAGTTTTAAGCATTATGTTAAATAGAATTAAATAAAATTAAAAATATAACAATCATGACAATTATGTAGACAATGTGTTACAGATGAAAATATATGTACATACAGTCTTCTTGCTTTAAACTTATTCACATATAGTTTAGAAATTTAAAACATTTAGTATTTATCTCAGAAAATGTATCATGAGATACAGATTTTAGAACACATTAAAAATTGAATGTAGAAGTTTAAAAGATAAAGTTATGTCAGTGTTCTCCTCAGAGCAATTTTATGTTGGTGTTATCTGAATAGTTTTTATAATAAAATGTATTTTAATGTAATATTATTAAACAGTAAACGATTTGTAATAGTAATAATCATTAATATGATGAGAGATTAACAAACCTTGAAGTCTTCTTATTTTTATATTTATCTTTTAGGCTGCAAGTAATTTTTGTTTTTTAATATTTAGGATGCATCTACTAGGTCAAACAAGAAAATTATATTTGATGATAGTGACAGTGATAGTGACAGTAACAGTGATAGCACTGCCTCACAGGTCATTGAAAGTAAGGATGAAGAAGAGGATTCTACAGATGACAGTGATGTTGATGAAGCAGTGAATAGTAAAACTTTGGAAAAGGTAAAACTTTAATCAAGCACACATATACAGGTCCTAACATTGCATAGACTAATGCAAGCTCCAGTTTTCTCAGAGATGTAACTTTTTATGCCCCCGCCGAAGACGAGGGGGCATTAAGTTTTACCCTTGTCCCTCCGTACGTCCCAAAATTGGTTTCCGTTCTCTAACTAAAGTTTGCCTCTACCAAATGTTATCAAACTTATACACAATGCTTATAACCACAAAACACGGATCAAGTTTGAATATTGGTGGCGTCACTTTAACCGTTCTAGAGTTATGCCCCTTTATAAATGGAAAAATTGCAAAATTTTTCATTTCTGTTCTCTAACTTAAGTTTGCCTCATCCAAATGTTATGAAACTTATACACAATGCTTATTACCACAATACACAGATCAAGTTTGAATTTTTGGTGGTGTCACTTTTACTGTTCTAGAGTTATGCCCCTTTACAAATGGAAAAATTGCTAAATTTTTAATTTTTTTTCTAAAAATATCAATTTCATTATTCAAGTAATTTTGAAAATTGGAGTTATCTTCCTTTGTCCATGATTATAGTTGAATCAACTACAATCAATGCTTTATACAATGCAATGTTTAATTTTGCCTTCCACTGATAAAACACAGATCAAGTTGAATTTGGGTATTGTCACTTTAACCATTATTGAGTTATGCCCCTTTATAAATCGAAAAATTGCTAAATTTTTAGTTTCCATTCTGTAACTTAAGTTTGCCCCAACCAAACATTATGAAACCTATACACAATACTCATTACCACAAAACAAAGATCAAGTACAAATTTTTTGTTTCCGTTCTCTAACTTTAGTTTGCCTCGACCAAATGTTATGAAACTTATACATAATGCTTATTACTACATAATACAGTTTAAGTACGAAATTCGGTGGCGTCACTTTTACCATTCTTGAGTTATGCCCCTTTATAAACATAAAAATTGCTGAATTTTTCTTTTCTGTTCTCCAACTTTAGTTTGTCTCAACCAAATGTTATAAAACTTATACACAATGCTTATTACCACAAAACTCAGATCAAGATCAAATTTGGGTAGCGTCACTTTTACCGTTCTTCGGTTATGTCCCTTTATAACTATATGATATGCAAGCGGGGGCATCATCTGTATCCACATGTGGACACAATCCACATTTGTTTCCCTCAAGAGATGTTTGAAGAAATACATTTTTTCACCATTAAAGTTCCTGGTAAAATCAACTCTTAAATTGAATAAAATTGTCCTTGCAGATAATGCATTTTATATCAGTAAAAGATTTCATAGAAGTAGAATTGAAGATAATTGAAGTACTGAATATCAGATTTTTTTCATGTCTGCTTTATTTGCAATTTAATGACAAAATAGGAAGGTTAAATTTTCACTGTGTATTATTTTTCGCTGAATGGGAAAATACACACAAAAAATCAATGTAAAAGATGTAAATAACATGAACTTGATTGAGTTACATATAATCGATAACAAATAAATATGAGTACTACAAACTAAAATACGCATAATTATGAGAACTATCAAGGAAAGTAAACATGTACATGTACATTGCAACATGCTAGACATTGTTATACCATCACTAAAGTGATTAAAATTCTCAGAGCATTTTTGAAGCATATTTGTGAAAATTACGAGACAACATGATTTATTTGATTTTTGTCGAGGCTGAGGCTTTTGTCGCAGAAAGCTCGACATAGAGTTAGTGATTCGGCATCGGGGCAGCAGTGGCAGCATTAACTAACTACTTAGAAGCTTAATATTTCAGAAGGTAGAAGACATGGTCTTCATACTTTGTATATAGATGCATTATGTTATGAAGTTTCCGTCTGTCATATGTTCATAGTCCTTGACCTCATTTTCATGGTTCAGTGACTACTTGAAAAAAAAGTTCAGATTTTTTGTAAAGTTAATTTCTCTCTTATTATGAGTAAAAATATAACTAACTATATTTGGTACGTGTGTACCTTGCAAGGTCCTCATGTCTGTCATTTCACTTCACCTTGACCTCATTTCATGGATCAGGGAACAAGGTTAAATTTTCGTGGTCAAGTCCATATCTCAGATACTATAAGCAACAGGTCTACCATATTTGGTATATATGATTGTAAGGTGTACATGTCCAACTGGCAGGTGTCATCTGACCTTGACCTCATTTTCGTTGTTCAGTGGTTAAAGTTTAGATTTTATGTTTTGGTCTATTTTTCTAATACTGTATGCAATAGGTCAACTATATTTGGTGTATGGAAATATTTTACGATGTACAAGTCAGTCTGTCATGTTTTATTTGACCTTGACCTCATTTTCACGGTTCATTGCTCAATGTTAAGTTTATGTGTTTTAGTCTGTTTTTCTTAAACCATAAGCAATAGGTCAACTATAATTGGTGTATGGAATGATTGTAAGGTGTATGTCTGGCAGATATCATTACCTTGACCTCATTTTCATGGTTCATTGGTCAATGTTAAGTTTTCCTGTTTAGGTTTGTTTCTTAGATACTATATTCAATAGGTCAACTATATTTGATCCATAGAATGATTGTAAGGTGTACATGTCTGTCTGTCAGGGTTTATCTGTCCTCGACCTCATTTTCATGGTTCATTGGTCAATATAAAGTTTTCATGGTTTGGTCTGTTTCCTGTATACTATAAGCAATAGATCAAGTATATTCAGTGTATGGAATGATTGTAAGGTGTACATGTATTTCTGGCTTGGTTTATCTGACCTTGATCTCATTTTCTTGGAAGTTTATGTGATACTTGTAGTAAAACTTTATATGTATGACTATCAACATTTGGTTGGCTTGGTTGCTTTTGTTTGTATAAACTTTTGCTCAAGCAATGTAATTAAGATTGACATCTGCAACCAATATAAATAGGAGGAGTTAAACCTGTATAAATTATACTTAAATTTGATACCTGTATACATAATACTTAAATTTGATTGGATGTTATCCTGGAGGTAAGGAATCTAAGTATAATGTATACAGGTTTAACTCCACCTATTTATATTGGTAGCAGATGTCAATCTTAATTACAATGCTTGAGCAAACATTCATACAAACAAAGCAAGCATGCCAACCAAAGTCTTACTCTACAAGCATTAGGAAATTAACTCTTGTTAAATTACATATCAATTTCTATACGACTGTAAACAAATTTTGCGGTCGTATATTGGCATGACGTTGGCGTCGTTTTTGTCGTCGTCGTTGTACGAAGACACATTGGTTTTCGCACTCTAACTTTAGTTTAAGTAAATGGATCTCTATGAAATTTTACCATAAGGTTCAATGCCACAAAAGGAAGGTGGGGATTGATTTAAGGGGTTATGGTACCAACAGTTAAGGAATTAGGGGCCAAAAATAAACATTTTTGTAACTTCCAGACATAACTTGTGTGTTAGTGTATGGATCTCTCTGACATTGTACCACAAGGTTCAATATCACAAAGGGAATGCTAGGATTGATTTTGGGGGTAATTGCCTCCAAATTTTAGGAATTAGGGGCCAAAAAGGGGCAAAAAACAAGCCTTTTTCTAGTTTCATGACAATAACTTGTGTGTAAGTGTATGGATCTCTCTGACATTGTACCACAAGGTTCCATATCACAAAGGAATGCTGGGATTGATTTTTGGGGGTAATTGCCCCCAAGTTTTAGGAATTAGGGGCCAAAAAGGGGCAAAAAACAAGAATTTTTCTAGTTTCAGGACAATAACTTGTGTGTAAGTGTATGGATCTTTATGAAATTGTACTGCAAGGTTCCATATCACAAAGGGAAAGCTGGGTTTGAGTTTGGGGGTAATTGCCCTAAACGTTTAGGAATTTGGGGCCAAAAAACAAGCATTTTTCTAGTTTCCAGACAATAACTTGTGTTCAAGTGTATGGATCTCTCTGAAATTGTACTGCAAGGTACCATACCACAAAGGGAAGGCTGGGATTGAGTTTGGGGGTGATGAATCATTCAAAAAATTTTGGGGGGGGATTTTTTTTTGGTTTTTTTCTTTAAAATTTTCCATTTTAAATTGGTTATTTCTGATTTATATATAAAAGCAAATAATAATGATATGGTTTGAATAGGTGAATTGAAATTTTTTAAGTTCTTAGACCACATTCATTCTGTGTCAGAAACCTATGCTATGTCAAATATTTAATTACAATCCAAATTCAGTGCTGTATCAAGCTTCAATGTTGTGTCCATACTTGCCCTAATTGTTCAGGGTTCGACCTCTGCGGTCGTATCAAGCTGCGCCCCAGCGGAGCATTTTATTTTATGCATGAAAATGTATAAAACGTATAAACAGCAATAAATCTTGGAATATGCAGGGAAATTTACGCTGGGTCAAATATTTGTGTTTCTTTAGCTGCCCCAAACATGGCGAAAATAAAACACACGCACAAAACCCTATATACAGTGTATAAATTTATGATAAACCAAATATTTACTGTAGATTTCTTTGCAAAATATTATTAGAATATTCATCAATATTTTGCAAAACTATATTGGAAATGATACCTTATACACTGAACATTTCCGAATAGGTAATGCAAAAATGCTAGCTTATATTGCTCTTAACATTTGATAGGCACTAAATAAGGTTCTTAATGTATGATACAATATTTCAATTGTAAACAAACAACAGAAAAACATCTCAAAAAAAAAACTGTAATGGCTGCTGTTGTAAAGCTATTCAGATGACGACTCTTAGAACAGAGTACCTTGATATTAGTGCAATAACAATCAGTTTTATTATTCCAGCTCTTACATTTTCATACAGACTTGTCAAGATTGTTCACAAAGTGTTGCACCATTTTCTTCAAAAGGAAATGCCTGTACCAAGTCAGAAATATGACAGTTGTTTTCCATTTGTTTAATGTGTTTGAGCTTTTGATTTTGCCATTTGATAAGGGACTTTCCGTTTTGAATTTCCCTTAGAGTTCGGTATTTTTGTTATTTTACTTTTAATTTCAACACTATGTGAAAAATCTAAAAAAGACAGTCCCTACAGATGAGTGAAAGTGCTAGAGTTATTAAACTTGTGAATCTACTTTTTCCCCATTAAAATATGAATTCTGTGCATGTGTATTAAATTTCATAGTTACTTTTTTCCAGAAGAATGTTCCTGCATTATTTGATAATTCAGAGAGTGAATCAACAGATAGTGAAAACGATGAAAAAATGTTCAAAATACGACCCGAGTTTGAAGGCAAATCAGGACAAAAGGTTGGTTGCCATTCAATTTATTCAGAATTTTTTTTAAAAACATATATTCCAGCTGTCAAAACAGAAATTCAACTTTCTCAACAATAACTGAAGTCTTGTTTTTTATTTTTAGGTTTTCTTCATCTTTTAGGGACTTCTTTTCAGTTCATCTCTAAAAGATTGTTTTCTTCAACCAGTTAGGATTAATAAGAGCTTGTCTCTTTATTAAGATACTGTAAATTTAGAAATAATTGTGAGGGTTTTTTATTAATGCAAATAATGTCACTTGTGTATCGCAATAATAAGAACTCGCATTCTAATATGAACTAAATATATTTGTATGTAGCTTTTCCTAAAATCACAATAATTAAACTCACATTTTTCTTCATTCTTCAAAATTAGCAATAATAAATGCATGCAATAATTTCTGAATCTACAGTATCAATAAAATGATATATGGTTATACATCTAGGAGAATGCAAAATAGAGTTTATATATTTGATAATTGAAAGAAATATTTTGTGGGAAATAATATAACATATGTGTACCAAACAATGTCTAAAAAGTTGTTATTTGCTGCCAAATTCTTTAAAAGTGTCCAGTGTACATGATTTGAATAACTACTCCTTAGAGTTACTGGACTGTAGAATGGAATTCCATATTTTCCTAGTCCTTTCATCCATCAAAATCAGTTTTAAGTTGATATACTCCTTTCAAGTTTATATAAGAATGTTATATTTTTATTTAAAAAGAAAAATTAATGAGAGGTTTTATTTTAATTTTAGGATTAGTTCATTACACCCTTAAAAAAGCTTTTGCAATCTTGTTTAATATTTTAAAACTTATTTTTATTGGTTAATTTTAGAGAATGGAATTACAGTCTCGCTATGGTAATGATGATAGATTTAAACTGGGTGAAAGATTCATAGATAGTGAAGAAGAAAACATGGAAGAAGGTATGTTTAGAAATCCTTTTGATATACAAGTGACTGTAGGAAATTTCTTTTGTTTTACAATGTATGAGAATTGCATCTTATTTATTATAAAAATGTCTACTGATTAGGACACAATCAATAAATTTATGAGTTCAATATATATATTCTCTGTTTGTAGATATTGAAGAACCAACAGAGGAGGACGAGAGAGCAAAATCATTGAAAATTTTAGAACAAGTTATGGGTACCAAAATTAAACCAGAAAGGAAGGGAAAACTGTTTAGGTATAGTTTTTATTTTATTTTATTCGTTTGATCCTTGGTTGAGGACCACCAGAAGTTTTATAATATTCAGTAGTTCACCAGAATTTGTTTTGAAAATGAAGTCAGAGGACCATAATAAAGAAGATGTGTGTATATGTGTCTAAATATAATGTTTTACAAAGTGAAGGAGCAAGAATCAATCTGTTGGATAGCGTTTTGCTTGGCAGAAGGAATTCAATGTTCAAAAAGTAACAGATTTTACCTGTATGTACTATTTTATATAAAAACAGAATATGGATATGAGATGTCATGAACAATCACATTAACTTATTTTAAAAATGTGCAAGTAAAATTAATATGTAAAATGTATAAGGCATTATAAACATTAGAATCTCAGGGGCCTTGGTAGCCGAGTGGTCTAAGTAGTTACTACTGTAATCACTAGCCAGTCAACACTGAGGTTGTGAGTTCGAACCCTGCACGTGCGGGTGAACTCGACTCCATTCTTAAAGGGAAAGTCCGCGATTTTTTACTTATCATCTAAATATGTTCATCTTAACATAAAAAACACATTCACAAAGTTTTAAATTTATATTCTTTCTAATAACGGAGAAAATCAAGTATTTGTAACTTTTTTGGTTGACCTACGTCACTGGGTTGTGACGTTTTAACCCGATTTGTTGAATCATGGGAAAAAATAAAATCTGTTAAAGTCTTAATTGCTTATCAGAATTTTACGTAATTAAAAGCGCACAGATGACCGTTGGTCGTAGTTAATAACCACAATATAAGAATGAAAGAAAATGAATATGTGTGTACCGTTTTGTATTGATTGAATAAAACTTCCTATATGAAGTTATCTAAATATAAATATTTTCGAATAAATTTCATAAATTATTGAGATTTTTTCATAAAATATCTATAGAACATTTTTACTGATATTGAACTTAAAATATTTTAAGTTTTATTTACCGTTATAACTTTGATTACCATTTCAATGCAAAATATTTGTGAACAGAGTGTGTATATTATTTTGTAAAGTCATTGTTTATTTCTCGATTTGAGGAGAATTCGTTTGAACTTGACCTTGCAGCAATTTAGCCTCAGGCGTACACAGGTGTGAATTCAAGCGTACACAGGTGTGAATATTGTCATTTTAAATGGATTAACAGAAAGAGTATAGCGTGTTTAATATACCCAGATGAAATACCCGATGACAATAGAGAAACAATAAATAAATTGTATAAATCAGAGACATATATACACATGTGTATATATGTCTCTGTATAAATTAATTGAAAATTAACATTCAACTTTTTAATTCCGGAAGTGTTACAATATTAAAATGGAACAATTTTCGGTTACGTTCTATGCAATTAGCATAAAGTTAAGATATGAAGTTAAAAGAATAGTACTTTTAATCTTAAAAAATTAAATGTTACATTTCCCAATTAATAATCATTGCACATCTGTTTAATTTACTTTACCGGAATTCTTTAACTTGTATTTAAATCTGGCGATGTTTGAATGCTAACAATCGTAAAACTATCGCAATTTTAAAGTTTTTAATTGAAAAAATACAACAGTACAACATGCATGATTTTTTTTAATTTTCTTATTAACATTTCATTCTTATATAATTAAATTCATTTGACAATCACCTAGATAAATTATTTGTGAAAAGAATACCAATTATCGTTTATTTCATTAATGAATATACATACATTATAAATCTAAGCTAATACATTAATTTGTTTGAGGATTTTTTTTAGGATAGCCGTCATTAATCCAAATTAGTAATACAGTTGTTGTAATTAAAGGCATATCTTAGTAATGTATTACTGATATTGACGATTTGAGAACAGTTTGTCCCAACCTCGTTGTTCTTGAAACAATCTTTACTAGTATACTTGTAAGTTTCCTGACGTATATGAGCCATTGATGATGAGCTCCAGAGATAGCAGACGTAGTAGCGTATTTGTTTGTTGGGGCAGGAGAGGCCATGCAACCACTTATACAGATAAACAAGCTTATGTTGTCAACACTATCAGAAAGAGTTCCCATCGTCGGATGGGGTATATGAAGGTTCCAAGAATGAACTATTGACATGTCTGATTCTGAACAGTTAGTTAACGGACTTAACAATGATCTATAGACATCGATCGCTTGTTCTTGATATTTGAAACTGCATGCATATATACGTTTATGAGAGTGATTATTTATCTTGTGTCTGACGAAAACTAAATGCCTGCATGGTTATATCTTGCCATACATTTGTATTGGTTTGGTGGGTGTTCACTCAAAATCGTAATTCAAAAATTGTGTTTGTGAGATGTAGATTCACTTCAATACCGAATTTCGTCTATATATTTCACAAGTGTATACCACGGAAAAGATCTGAAGGTATATTACTCCCATTTTGTTTGGGTGTGAATCATCGATGTTTACAGCAATATTTAATTAATAAGATGATGATGGTAGAAAGAACTATGAGCGTCATGTGGCAAATATTACATGCATGTCGGACCATGAGTTGTCAATCTGTATGAAAAGATTTCCAATACAACCATATTGAGTAGGAATTTTTACATGCTATACTCTCGTACTAGTATTACAGGGTTCTTGTGTCATTTAACTCGGACCCACATCTTTTACTTTAAGATGTATGAAAGGTTCTAAATATATATATATATCTTAAATGTAACAATAATCAAACGCCTATAGGCAATCATTAAAATGGTATGAAGTTTTTATACAGATTTATTCTTATTTACACAATCATTAACAAACTAAATAAATTTAACAAAGTAACACCGTGACACTACGATATAACAAATGGGATACTAATTATTTTTAACCATGCTATGCAGAAACTTTACACATCAAGCAGGAACATATATATTAATAAACTGTTCCCAGCATCAAGTTAGTGCATGTGAATACCAATTAGGTACACGATGTGTGATTTTGTATAGCTAAAAATATCAAAGCGAGCAATAACTTTGTCAAGCAAATATTTTTTTTCACTATGCCTCTCTTATCTCCGCTCCTTTACAATAACTATTTCGCTTTTCGTCGATCATTCTCTATATTGTTCTCTATTTGGTTTTTATTTTTCACTATGCCACTCTATCTCCGCTCCTTTTTCCCCTGTTGTCCTAATCCTTATAAAGATAGAGACATTAGACATAGAAGGGGCTCTCTTATCTTCGATGAATTAATATTGATAGTGACTATAAGTGCTGCATTACTTTATATATCTGCATGTTTGCCAATCGACAAAAGCTTGTATTTGCGTGAAGATTTTTTCTTCTTCAAAAATATGGTTCAGAATCATGACAAAACAATATTCATTTCACAAAAATGTTCAAAGGTCATGTTTATAATTTTTTTTAAACTTATTATCAGCAAAAATAGTGGATAATATTATTATCAGAACATCATTCATTAAAAGGTGGAATTATAATTTCAAACACACACAAGATAAACAACGTTAGACACAAATATATGGTTCAACAAATGTTACCTGTGCACACCGGGTACCTCAATAAAGAGGCCATGCATGAACCTGTATTATATAATGTGTAATACGAATTTTTAGTTGACAGGATGTCACTGGAATACCCAGGGACGTGTATCTAATAAACGTCCTTGGAATACCTAACTGAATGTGTCGCTCTGACACGACATCTATCAATAATTCTGACATACCTATTATCAATTCGGGAGGAAGCCAAAAAAAATATATAATAAGATAACGTAAATATAATTTAAAAAGAAAAAAAACCTTAAAATTTTTCACCGAACATACCAGATAGAGTCACACATTTAACTGTAAAGCTAAGTGTCTTTGTAAGTGACCGTTCCGTATCAATTTGATATAATTTAAAGATTAGTTAAAAAAAAACCACTTTTAATAAAAAAAAATTGAGATGTCCGATATTTCGATATTTACATATCTATAACCTGGGAATATTATACTATATCAACATATTATGTCCCAGCTAAAACCTCTTCCTAACATTGCTCCTTGTCAATAGCCGTTAAATATCATAATTAAAAAAATGTTATTTTATATCGTATAACTTTATTAATTGAAAAATTATCTTGTCTAAATACGGAACTATTCTTTATACAAATCAATGCACTTTATATAAAAGAGGCATACTAATGAATCTTCTGTAAATCAGTGATTGTTACAAGAACACTGCATTTGTCTTTCTTATAATTGAAACTGTTCTTCCTCATCAAATCTATATTTTTTTTATTCAACGAGATCTTATCATATAAGGATTTGATAACTATAGCTATCAGAACTGCTAGGTTATTTTGTTATTAAAAAAGGATAATTACCATCAAATCTCCCTCGAAACAATATTGGTCAAAATGGTCTTCACACACCAACTTGTGCTTGCTATAGATGCAACTATTTGCTGTTAGTTTAAGGTTGTACAACCATGTCTGATGCAATTCTTTCTTTTTTTGTGGGATTGGGAAAACTATGTAGACTTTTGTCATAACCTTGTCTGACAAAACAACCGTACGCTTGACAAGACATTTGACACTGAATAACCGTCTACGGTAATCCCCAATTGATGATGGGAGTTTTTAACGCACGGTCGGTAAATCCCCGATTCTTTTTGTTCTTTGTGGTTTATAGATATCACGTGACTTTTTAGATCGAACATGCCGACAAGATGGCGATATGTCGAGAACTGATAGTGAATTTCAAAAATCGATTTTGATCTCTTTACATAGAGAATAAAAGTTTTTTTATTTATGAACATGTGGTTTTTTATGCTTAAAGAACAAAATATCAATTTTTCATTTTTTTGCGGAGTTTCCCTTTAATTGACTAGGATTGTCAGTTTTCCTATCGAAGGTTGGTGGTTTTCTCCGGGCACTCCGGCTTCCTCCACCAATAAAAACTGGCCGCCACGAAATAGCCCAAAAGCGGTGCTTAAAAGTGGCGTTAAAAATACAAAAAATCAAATCAAATCAATCATTAGAAACTCAAAAGACTAATAACATTGAAGAGCAATGGCAACACCCATGAGTATGGTTCTTGTAAGGTTTGTGTTGAGGTCCATTTTTAAGCAACTACAAATCATCAAGGAATTATCTTTTGTCAGTTGATGCATCATTTTTAGTAATGACAGTCCATACTAAAATGAGATCATCTGGACTTTTATTGCATGCCTGAATGGATTCGGCTAAGTTTGATGTACAGATTTAAGCCTCCATGAATCATAGAGGATTGAAATTTGATCAGCTGATGCATCATGATAACACCATGCTTGATGGTGAAACACTATTCATATTGTTAAAATGCTAACTCCAAAATAATATTTTTATGCCCCACCTACAATAGTATTAGGGGCATTGTGTTTTCTGGTATGTGCGTCCGTTCGTTCGTCCGTCCTTCCATCTGTCCCGCTTCAGGTTAAAGTTTTTGGTCAAGGTAGTTTTTGATGAAGTCCAATCATCTTGAAACTTAGTACACATGTTTCCTATGATATGATCTTTCTAAATTTAATGCCAAATTAGAGTTTTGACCCCAATTTCACGGTCCACTGAACATAGAAAATGAAAGTGCGAGTGGGGCATCCATGTACTATGAACTCATTCTTGTTTTGTGAAGTCATGATTGACAATTTTGCACTGATGTACCCAAAGTGTATAATCATATTCATATGACAATTGAATTAACAATATTTTAGCACTACTTGATATTTATATATTATTGTGATGTTATATGTCAATTTGTCAAATAAACTTATCATGTGTATCCTTTTGAAAATGATTCAGTGTTACTTGATAAATATATATGGTTTGCTTTATATATTTCAGAGATGTGTCAGCTTTACATTTTGACCCTAGTAGAGAAGACCATACACACTATGAAGTGCAAGCAGAAAGTCAACCAAAGAAAGAAAAGTAAATTAGATATTATTAGAAGAGAATGACTATACAAAATGCTGATCAGGTTGACATCAGCAAAGTGATTACATAAATATCAAATGTGAACATGTCTTCAACTAAAACAATCTTAGAATCATTCCAGTACACTTTATTGCTTTTTATACGACCGCAAAAAAATTTTGTGGTCGTATATTGGTATGACGTTGGTGTCGTCGTCCGAAGACACATTGGTTTTCGCACTCTAACTTTAGTTAAAGTGAATGGATGTCTATGAAATTTTACCATAAGGTTCAATACCACAAAAGGAAGGTTGGGATTGTTTTTGGGGGTTATGGTACCAACAGTTAAGGAATTAGGGGCCCAAAAGGGGCCAAAAATAAGCATTTTCTAGTTTCCAGACAATAACTGTGGAATGGTGTATGGATCTCTCTGAAATTATACTACAAGTTTCCATACCACAAAGGGATGGTTAGGATTTGCTTTGGAGGGTTATGGCTCAAACTGTTTAGGAATTAGGGGCAAAAAAGGGGAAAAAACAAGGTTGTCCTGGTTAATGGACAAATACTTTAGTACAAAACATAATTTAAAGCAGTGTAAGGGAGATAAATCAAATACATCATTGAAATTTCCTCCCTTACACTGCTTTTAAATTATGTATAAAGTAATGGTTAATGAACAATTAAGATAATTTAAAACAGTGTAAGGGAGGTAATCCAAATACAACGTTTTGGTTACTTCCCTTACACTGCTTTTAAATTATGTTTAAAGAAATGCATATTTATAAAGGAAGACCAGTAAAAATATCTGCAAATGTTGCATCTTTTTTTTTTACAAAAAAATCTATATGAAAGATTTGACACTATATTTTAAATTCTATTATAAAATAGATTAAGTTAGCACTATGGTAAATTTAAATGGGTAATTATGGTTGCAAACTCCATTGGAAATTTGAATTGAGATTATGACCATATCTTGAGGGAAAGAATTTTTTGGGGGAAAAAAGGGGGGGGAGTAAAAAGAAATTGTGGGGGGGGGGGGGGGGGTCAATTTTTTCTCATTTCAGATTTCAGAAATTAAAAAGAATTATTCTTCAAATATTATTTTTTTTTTTCAAATTTCAAATATTGAAAAATTTCAAGAAGTAATCTTTAATTGCACAGTAAGGCGCATTAGATTTGTAAAATTTTTGACCACATTTATTTATTTGTTTTGCCGAATCTAACCGTGTATTTAGATTTTTAATTTTGGGTCCAGTTTTCAAATTGGTCTACATTAAGGTCCAAAGGGTCCAAAATTAAACTTTGTTTGATTTTAACAAAAATTGAATATATGGGGTTCTTTGATATGCTGAATCTAAACATGTGTTTAGATTTTTGATTATGGGCCCAGTTTTCAAGTTGGTCCAAGTTGGGGTCCAAAATTAAACTTTGTTTGATTTCAACAAAAATTGAATATATGGGGTTCTTTGATATGCTGAATCTAAACATGTGTTTAGATTTTTGATTATGGGCCCAGTTTTCAAGTTGGTCCAAGTTGGGGTCCAAAATTAAACTTTGTTTGATTTCAACAAAAATTGAATATATGGGGTTCTTTGATATGCTGAATCTAACTGTGTATTTAGATATTTAATTTTGGGTCCCGTTTTTTAAATTGGTCTATATTAAGGTCCAAAGGGTCCAAAATTAAACTTAGTTTGATTTTAGCAAAAATTGAATTCTTGGGGTTCTTTGATATGCTGAATCTAAACATGTGTTTAGATTTTTGATTATGGGCCCAGTTTTCAAGTTTGTCCAAGTTGGGGTCCAAAATTAAACTTTGTTTGATTTCAACAAAAATTGAATATATGGGGTTCTTTGATATGCTGAATCTAACCATGTATTTTGTTTTTGGACATTGGACCATAATAGGTAAATTAAAAAAATTCAAATTCTTAGACCACATTCTTTCTGTGTCAAAAACCTATGCTGTGTCAAATATTTAATCACAATCCAAATTCAGAGCTGTATCATGCTTGAATGTTGTGTCCATACTTGCCCCAACTGTTCAGGGTTCGACCTCTGCGGTCGTATCAAGCTGCGCCCAGCGAAGCATTTTTATTGTACTTTATTACTGGATATCACAGACAACCAATAAATTTTGTCATCACTAGAGATATTGTCTGACTCTACAATGTAAATGTGATTGTTTTATGACATCAACCATTGTAATTCTAGGGTCAGGTGTTGCAGAATCCCAAAAAAGCAATAAGGTCTATGATACAGAGGAAGATCTCTTTTTAAATATCTTCAATTCTGAAGATTGAAGAGGATTTAATTTTAATAATCTGTAAACTTTGGGGAAAAAAAACAAAAAATTATGAACCAATGAGCATGAATTGTCTTAACAGTATTTCTGTTACATCTAAAGAGGAGATATTACCTTTAATGAATAAAAAATTACAATTGCCTTGGTAATCCATCCCATCATACACTATAGTAGAAATAGCAAAGATAGTAACTATAGTATATGAAGAAATATAAAATAACATAGAATTCATATATATACTTAAATTCTCAATAGAATTGTTTCATATTTTTCATGTCGGGGCCTTTTATAGCTGACTATACGGTGTGGGTTTTTTCTCATTGTTGAAGGCCGCACGGTTGCATAAGATTGATTACATCCACTTTATTTAAACTTTGGTGGATAGTTGTCTCATTGGCAATCATACCTCATCTCCTAATTTTTATATTACATAAATATATATATGCTTTAGATCATCATACTTCTTGTAATTATAGGAAAACTTTCAAAAAGTGCCAAAAAAGTCTTTTTTAAGATTGTGTCATTCATATTTAAATACAAGCAACAGCTTTTCATAAATAGATTTTTTATTACAAAATGTCATAAGCAGAGATGTTGAAATGAGCAAAAAAATGTTTTAGGGTAAGGCTGTTGGTCATACTTTATTTTAGGATTGATTTTGTGTCAAACATGCCATTTTGTCAATTTTCATATGTTTATGAAATAGTAACAATTCAATTCAATTCATTGTTTTATTTAAATCTTATCTCTCAATAATATATTATACAACAGTGAATTAAGTGTAAAATATAGATATGAAATAGAGAGCCATTCTGTATAGAATTATAAAGAGACTATAAAATTAAAACATTGATATAGAAAAATTGTCTATTATTTTAAAACATATTTATAAGTACATTATTATAAAACTTATTTATAAGTACATTATCTACAGTGTAAAACATTTTTACTGTCTATTTAAAATAAGATAACAGGCTTTGGCACAGCTACAAATCATATTAATATCTGTGAATAAAAAACTAATTTTTGTTTATCATCAAAAGACTTGAATCACTATTAAAATGTTTTGCTTCATCAAATATTTTTTTTTTCTAAAATTGCCATATAATGGACAAGATGAAATAACACGGGCTTCATCTTCTAAAACATTTTTACAATTCAGTTAATTTACATCCCAAATATCATTTCTGCACTTAAATGACCGAAGCATATAATTTAACTATTTTTGCAATTACTAGAGCCAAAATATGATTCATATCATACACTAGCTTTTTTTCAATTATTTTGAATTTTTACAAGTAACTCTTTCTGATATCAAAATTAATTGAATAACAGAATATATATTTATAGCTGATTTTTCCTTTTTTCAGAAAGTCATCAAAAAAGAGAAAAGATACTGAAGTCACTGAGAATGAAGAAAAAGAAGAAGATTTGCCAGAAGTTAGCAAGGAGAAGTTTTTTGCAGTTTCTGATTCCCTAAAAGATGCATTTAAACCAAGCAGTAAAGATTCAGATGAACCAAAAGGATTTTCCTTATTGTCAGCATTTGGCTCTGGACCTTCCAAGGAACATGATTATGAACATGATGAGAATGGTAAGTGAATGCTTAACAGTGGTGGATCCAGGATTGGAAAACAATGGAGGCCTGAAAGAAAAAAAAGCAAAAAAAAAGTACCACAAAACACTATTTTTATGCCCCCGCCGAAGCCGAGGGGGCATTAAGTTTTACCCTTGTCTGTCTGTACGTACGTACGTACGTCCCAAAATTGGTTTCCGTTCTCTAACTTGAGTTTGCCTCAACCAAATCTTATGAAACTATTACACAATGCTTATTACCACAAAATACAGATCAAGTTCTAGAGTTATGCCCTTTATAAATGGAAAAATTACAAAATTTTTAGTTTCCGTTCTCTAACTTAAGTTTGCCTCAACCACTTTATTTGGCCTTACAGTGAGGGGGATGCTGCATCTTCCGTTGTTTAAGTTGGGAAATATACAATAAAAAAAATATACCATGGGGAAATCAAAATCTTAAGAAATACAGACTACCCTATGGCAAAAATTTAAAAAGTCTACAAAACTTTGCAACGACAATTAAAGATGGCACAACATTGACCCAATTAGAAACCATGTGTGAAATCAAGCATTGCAGAAGAGTAAGCAGTTTTTATTCTGCTAATCATACCTATCAACTTGCTTCTGGCAGGTAAAATCTAATGATTATATTAGGTAATGTCATAAAAGAGGAGAAAGGAAGGGACTATAGTAATGACAAATAAAACATCTTTTGTCATCTGTCATACAAATATTGCATAAAGGTCAACCGAACCATGATGGTGTCTACAAAACTTGACAAGAAATCACTTCAGCTTTACCTTTAGGAACTCATGGTTCAGTAGCTTCCTTTTATCAACAATACTCAATTAGTCCTTGTACAGTATTTTAACTGGGAGATGTATAGAGTTCACCTTTGGTGTGTTACATTTTGCCAGATGTTGGGAGAATTCACTCATTTTGAAAGCAAAAAAACATTAGCAACAACTTTATGGAGATATTTGTAAATTAAGTCCTGTAGTAAATATATCAACCTTTTCATGACAAGTAAATATTCTGCTAAATCATTGTTCTTTTTGTCAGCTATTGTTCCTACACACAGATAATAACTACAAAACCAAATATAAATATAAACCTAGATCAAACGAGTCTGAGCTATGTTTTTAACTCACCAAAATATACAAAGTACATAAAATACATCAATGTTTAAAGAAAATGAAATGTACTACAAACATAATAGTACAAAAAGGGAGGGCAATGGATGGGTTTCAGTTAAAATTCAGAAAACAATCTTCTCTCTCCAAGAACAAAGGCGAATGACCACATGTCCGAGCACATGTAGAAATATGATATTAATTACTAATCTCAAGAACTGACCAATCAGATAATATACTTAGATGATCATGCATGGAACATGTAGTTCTTGACCTCACATTGATATACTTAAACAAAGAATATTCTATCTTAACACTCATGGCATTATGAAACTCAAAATTATCGGAAATTCCAGCCAAAAAATGTTTATTTGCAATAAATGTTATTGTCTTAAAATTATACAGAAGAAGATAGTGGTATGGAAACATTACAGCACAAATCCAGTTTGTTTCCATGGGAACAGCAGTTTGATGATGAAAGCAGTGATTCAGATAGGAATGATGGAAATGATAACTCAGATGACTCCCAGAGGTTTGTGTTTTAATTTCATACTTGTAAAGCCTTTAGATATGATTGATAATCGTTTTATTCATGTAATTTGGCATGAAAATTATTTTGTATTTATGATAAAGTGTCTTATCTTGTATTTGTTACCTGCTTCACCAAAGGCTGTTTGTTGATAATTTGAAATTTTACAACACTCATTGTATCAGGAAAATTTTTGTCAAAAGTTTTCCATGCTACTATTGAAGGGAATGATATAATATTATGTCTGCAGCTTGATAATGTTGAGTTGTAGCAAGTAAACAATTTTCACATCTGCTGTGTAGCCACTTCCTGTTTGCCAATAGCTTGAAAATTTAAAACACTCATTGATTGTACAGGGAAAATTTTTGTAAAAAGGAATTATCAGTTTTGCTCCAGTATACATGTTATCCACAATCAATTGCATGCATCGACACAGGTCCAGACCTGGTATCGGTCTTGTTAAAAAAGGGAGGACACTTGCACTTTACACTGCTAAGTAATTAAAGGCACATGTACAGCTTTTTTGTATATACTTAAATAAATAATATTAATTTTTAAATCCAGATAGTTGATAGCTTTTGCAGAAAAGTTACTAAATAACTGTGTAAATAGCTTGAACTTGGTAAGTGTAGCATCCTGTCTGGTGTTAACACAGTCAAAATTAATTGCAATCATTAGCCAGATATCTCCTGGAGTATTAAAACAGATATTTAAAGGGTCCTGTGGATTCTCATACAATATAGAGTGACAGTTTTATTAATGGAAAAACAGGATTTAGTTATTGATAACCAAAAAGGTTCTTGATATATTTTCAATTTCAATTTTTCCATTATTTAGAATTTCATTTCAATCATTTGCAAATCAAACAAGACTTGCAAGTATGTATGTTTCCAGACCCTTTCACAAAATCTTGATTTGCTAAATTTCTACAAATTTACATTTGATAATTGAGTTTTTTAAAAACATTTCAGTGATGAAGATATGAAAGAGAAAGAACCTATTGTTTTTAGCTCTGCAAAATCCTTCTTTTTCTTTCAAGAGAATGATGAAAGGATATCTGGTAAGATATTATTCTAACTGGTATGCTAAACACAGAAAATAATACCTAGTAATGACAACTGTTATTTAATATTTGTTTTAATTGAGAAGGAAAAAAATTGAATTAAAAATCTTGAATTAATGAGTTTTTCACTATCAGTTCACTTTTTTGCTTGTGTTTTATTATTGGTTGCAAACAAGTTGTCTGTGAGTTTTCATAATACAGCTTGTTTTCAAATTAGTTTCAAGTTGATTAGGTTTGGCTTTTGAATTTTAACGAGTTTTATATTTCTATCTGGCAAGAGATGCATATGATGAGGTCAGATTTTATTTTCCCCTAATATCTGTAATTTTCAACTTTTTGTTTCACAATCAATTACACATTGCAAGACATTTTTGCATTTCAATAGATATAAGAAGATGTGGTATGAGTGCCAATGAGACAACTCTCCATCCGAGTCACAATTTGTAAATGTAAACCATTATAGGTCAAAGTACGGCCTTCAACACAGAGCCTTGGCTCACACTGAACAGCAAACTATAAAGGGCCCCAAAAATGACTAGTGTAAAACCATTCAAACAGGAATAACCACTTCAGTGCTTCTTCTAGATTTTACATGTTTTTACAATAGATTATTTGTAAATTGCAAGACATTTTTGCTATCAATAGTTCCTTCTGTACTCTTCTAGATTTTACATGTTTTTACAATAGATTATTTGTAAATTGCAAGACATTTTTGCTATCAATAGTTCCTTCTGTACTCTTCTAGATTTTACATGTTTTTACAATATATTTATTTATAAATTGGAAGACATCTTATGGCATTTCAATAGTCCTTAGACTCCTTACAATACTCTACTAGATTTGATATGTTTTTACTCTAGATTTATTTGTCCATTATGATAGGTTGAATTTATAGTAAGGAAATTCAAATGTATTTTGCAGTTATAAAATCAAATGGGTCATTGTCATTCACATACCAGATCTTTTCATTTATTTATATATTTCTTGTCAACCAATCCAGTTGAAATTGGTATTAATTTCTTATTCATAAAAGACAGCTGTTATTGTTACAAGATATTTTGACCAAATCCATTTTTATTCAATAAAGATTCAGAATTGTGTAAAAGAAATATCTTTTACTGTTTATTTTTTCTTTTACTTTATGAAAAAATGGTTGGAATATTTTAGCTGATTAGATATATTATGATTGTCTAATTGGAGATAATTTATTACTGTTTACTTTTTCATATTGCAGAAGGAATAAAAAAGTTTGGTAGACAGGACGATCTAGAAATTGTCAAAGAAAAATGGTTACAAAAAAGACCAGATCTTGTTGAGGTAAGCTTCCATTTCAAACAGGCACTAAATCAAAATGGGTTGATATAGGATATTTTTCTGAAAGGAATGGAGTACTCTCATCATTTGATGAAAAGTAGAAACTAAATGATAACAGAGTATTTTTTTTAGATGTAACAGTATAAATGTCTTTTCCATATTCTATGCAGATCTTTGGTCTTTTATATTTGAATGAAGTATTTGTCACATATAGAAATATTTACTCAGTATATTATTGTAACAGCATGACAAATGTCAAAAATGATTTGAAGTTTCAAATTTTTGTTTTGAATAATGGGCTAAAGGATAATGAGACAGTATATATGTGTATTTATCTTCTCAGGATTTTCCTCAAAAACTTTAAAATCTGCCTCATGAATCATTTTTATTATACGACCGCAAAAAAATTTTGCGATCGTATAGTGGTATGACGTTGGCGTCGTCGGCGTCGTCCGAAGACACATTGGTTTTCGCACAATAACTTTAGTTTAAGTGAATGGATCTCTATGAAATTTTAGGGGCCAAAAATAAGCATTTTTGTAATTTCCAGACAATAACTTGTGTGTTAGTGTATGCATCTCTCTGACATTGTACCACAAGGTTCCATATCACAAAGGGAATGCTGGGATTGATTTTCGGGGTAATTGCCTCAAAATTTTAGGAATTAGGGGCCAAAAAAGGGGCAAAAAACAAGCATTTTTCTAGTTTCCAGACAATAACTTGTGCGTAAGTGTATGGATCTTTCTGAAATTGTACTACAAAGGTTCCATATCACAAAGGGAAAGCTGGAATTGAGTTTTGGGTAATTGCCCAAAACATAGGAATAAGGGGCCAAAAATAAGCATTTTTCTAGTTTCCAGACAATAACTTGTGTTCAAGTGTATGGATCTCTCTGAAATTATACTGCAAGGTACCTTACCACAAAGGAAAGACTGGGATTGATTTTGGGGGTAATTGCCTCAAAATTTTAGGAACTAGGGGCCAAAAAAGGGGCAAAAAACAGCATTTTTCTAGTTTCAGGACAATAACTTGTGTGTAAGTGTATGGATCTTTATGAAATTGTACTACAAGGTTCCATATCACAAAGGGAAAGCTGGGTTTGAGTTTGGGGGTAATTGCCCTAAAAGTTTAGGAATTTGGGGCCAAAAAGGGGCCAAAAACAAGCATTTTTACAGTTTCCAGACAATAACTTGTGTTCAAGTGTATGGATCTCTCTGAAATTGTACTGCAAGGTACCATACCACAAAGGGAAGGCTGAGATTGGGTTTGGGGTGATGAATCATAAGGGGGTTCAAAAAATTGGGGGGGGGGGGGATTTTTTTTTCTTCAAATTTTCAATTTTAAGTTGGTTATTTTTGATTTTTATATAAAAGCAAATAATAATGATATGGTTTGATTTCATCAAAAATTGAAATATTAGGGTTCTTTGATATGCTGAATCTAACCGTGTATTTAGATTCTTAATTTTTGGTCCCGTTTTCAAATTGGTCTACATTAAGGTCCAAAGGGTCCAAAATTAAACTTAGTTTGATTTTAACAAAAATTGAATTCTTGGGGTTTTTTGATATGCTGAATATAACCGTGTATTTAAATTTTGGATATTGGAACATTATAGGTAAATTAAAAAATTTTAAGTTCTTAGACCACATTCATTCTGTGTCAGAAACCTATGCGTTGTCAAATATTTAATCACAATCCAAATTCAGAGCTGTATCAAGCTTGAATGTTGTGTCCATACTTGCCCCAACTGTTCAGGGTTCACCTCTGCAGTCATATCAAGCTGCGCCCAGCGGAGCATTTTATTTTGTTAAAAATCTCTCTCTGAATCATTCTTTTTATCATTTCTTGAACAAATATAAGATAAACTGATATAATTTTTGGTGGAAACTAAAAAAAAAAATTACCTCCTGGCCTCATCTGAAATTGTTAAAACTTATATTAAAATTATTTTACTGTAACTAATATCTATTTCCAGGCGTATAGGACAAAACATAAAAGGCTTTTACGGAAGAAGAAAATGGAAGGAAAACATGGCCATAAGAAAGTAGATGTTCACAAGAAACATGCAGTTTTAAAAAATAGATAAATTATTAAAGTACGAAATATGTATTAAAATATTCATTTCTTCAATAAAATATACATGAAATGACTCACGATTGTTTTACTTTGTCATATCACATTTTGCATGCTGGGGTATATAAATTCTCTCTGTCTGTCAGTCTCATTGTTTACCCACAGGTCTTTCTTTCTGATTTGCTTGAGGTAAGAAAATAATTACTACAGTGATTACAATATTGAACATTGCTATGATATAAGTCAGATCCATAGGTACAGTCTAACAAAATATATTATAAATTATGCTATGTCAAAAGTTTGTCAAGAAAATCATTTTCAAATTGGTGTTTTATATTAATCTGAGTTAGAGATAACATGGTCAGAAATTGTACAAATCCATTATGTTTTGCATTTGGTCTTTTTTTCATTGACTTGTGATAATAATTCACTGATGTTTCACCACTGCAGTTTTTGTCTCGCCTGTGACAAAAGTCAGAGAAGCAAGATATTAGTGATGCTTTTGCTGTCATCGTTGTTGGCGGCATCAGTGGTTGGTATTTTGGTTTGGCAAGCATATTCTGCTCCATACTTGAGACCTAGTAACTGTGGTATAACTAAGTGATTGGTAAAAAAAATTAAATTTTAATAGCATTCTTCAAAACATTTCGTTGCTTATTTATGCCACACTTGGCTGGTACAGTAAACCAACTCATTGAATCTAGTGTAGTGGTTGCCATCCTCTACTTTTACATGCTTCAGTCATAATAATCAAAAGATCGGTAAGATGGTTGTAATCATCTGGTATAGCTTCAACAGATTATTTAAAAGTATGCAAGTGTGTACTGTAAATTCAGAAATTATTGCGATGTTTTTATTATTGCGAAAAATGCGACACGGTTATAATCTCAATAATTTAAACTCGCATTTTGAAATTTAATATATGAATTAAACAGGCTTTTTCTCAACATCGCAAAAATTAAAATCGAATTTTAGTCTAAAATGACAAAATTGCAATAATAAATGCACGCAATAATTTCTGAATTTACAGTAAATGAATTGATAACAAGATTGCTACACCAAAGGGAAATGTCCCCTGCTCTGTATAAATAAGGAATTAAATTGTGTCACCTTGTGCTTATGTGGTTTGTTAGTCAAAATATGGTTAAAGTCCCATAACTCTTATATAAATGGTCAGATCAAAATGACAGTGTAATATGGTTAACACATAAATGCAAACAATTCTTCCAAGTATGAAAGCTTTCTGTCAAATGGTCTCAAAGGAGATGCACTAGCAAGGTGACACTATTATAATACTCCAAAAAGCTGTCAAAAGTCCCATACAATACAAAAGCTTTATTTAGATTCCGTCCACTTATAACTACAAATGGTTGGATCAAAATGACATTTATGATCAGAGGTCACAAAACAAAAAAAAAATGTTCAAAGTCCCATAACTCAAATAAAAATTGCTAAATCCAACTGATGATATAGCATGGTACATAGAATATGATGGCAATTAATCCTAAGTATTAAGTTTTGTGTCAAACGGTTTCTGAGTAATGATGTGTTTGGTAGGAAAGGACTAGAACTATAAATGAGACATGGGTTGTTGTAAGAATCATAATTAACTTATTTAGATTTTTGAAAAGAGAGGAAAAAGATACCAGAGGGACATTTAAACTCGTATGTAAAAATAAACTGACAATGCCATGATAAAAAACAAAAAAAAAAGAGCAAAAGACTAACAACAGTATACAAAACACAACATAGATTACTAAAGACTGAGCAACACGAACCCTACCAAAAAATTTAGGGTGATCTCAGGTGCTCCAGAAGGGTAAGCAGTTCCTGCTCTTTTAGTGGCACATGTGAATGTGAAATTAAAGGATAATCCTAGCTTCGTTTCATTCTTCCTAAGATGCTTCTATATGAAGTCGTCCTCATATGATTAAAGGAACTAGTCAGCAAGAGAAGGAGCACAGTTGGTTCTCATGGGAATACCAATTGTTTGTTGAAAAAACACTTCCTTCTTGAAAATATAGAAACTGACCTAAGTGCCTCCAGAAACCAAATGACTTGACTTAATCACAAAACCATGAAAATAAGGTCAATTCAAGTGACCAATTTTAAAACACCACATATACCAACAGTAGACCAGATACATATGGCATATGATACCAATATGCTATTAAAAATTTACTTAATCAAGAAAAAAAAACATGAATCAATAAACCATCAAGAATCCTGTTTGCCAGATAGGCATTCATAATTTGCAATAATTCTATAGACCATAACTTGCTTCCAATAATAACTGAGAAGCTGACCTAATAAAGAAAAAAGAACAAAATCTCAATGAACCATGAAAAACGAGGTAAACTGTTGCAGTTCTTTAAGCACTAACATAAAACAAAATATTCTCTAACCAGTGAACCGGGAAAATGAAACCTAGGCTATGTGCCTCATATCTGACAGGATGGTATTATTAAAGTAATCCCTCATACTTTACTTACTTTACTTCTTACAGAAACCTAGATAATCTTAGCAGTAACGAACCAAAACTATAAGGTCACGGTCAGAGGATCAATGTCATCCCCATTGGGACATCAGGCCACAACAGACTGTCTCCATTTTTCTGTCTTTTGCCATGACATATACTGAGCTTGACTGTTGTTACATGGACTGTTCTTCACTGTACAATTCATAGTCTCCCTGGTGACGTAAAGGTGTTTTAGGTGTGCGATGTTGTGTTATTCTCAGTACATAGCCCATCCATCATAACCTCTGTTTGATTTCTGCAGTAATGCTCTTTGCATTACATTACTCTTAAAGCAGACCTGCCAACTTTTGAAATCCTCCATGGGGAATTTTACCCATGATATGAAAATTGAAAAGTGTCACATCATGTTATGACTGATTATATGCATAATATCAGGTGAAAAACATTACATGTATATTCAGGATCATCTTCGGTTTGTATCTTGTATACTTGACACTGTTTTGATGCTGTATGTTTCGTTCTGTATAAAGATGTTTGTTTGTTTCATTTGTTTTATTTGTATTGTCACTGCATTAAATAAAAGAATAAATGACTTGAGTTGTCCTTATATTTATGTTGCCTCATTTCTATATACCCCATATGCATGTGAACTATGTAATGAAAAGATGAACAAGGTAAATGTTATATTAATAATGTATATTATCATTTACAGGAGAAATAAACAATACATAACAATAATACACAAGGAGCATAAAAACATAAAAGCTATATTATAAATGTTCATTTTGCACTTAGTAGAAAACACTAAGTTACATTATCAACACTTAAAATTGTCACCACTATAAAAATTGTCACTTGCACTAATTACCACAGTCTTTGTCGTATGCAACACATGCTTACTTTGCTGATTTCAACAAGTCTTGTTCTGGTTTTAGCTGGTAGCAGGCACAGTCTGAATTAATGTTTGTGGTGAGTAAGTCACAGAGTGTTGTGTTGTCCAGTGATGACCTGTGTTCTGTGTGTATCTTCTTGACCATACTGAAGACTCTCACAATCTGCATTGGAGTTTGGTATACAACACATTGCTCTGGTAACTCTGGTTAGTAGAGGAAATCTTGATGTTCTAGCGATCTTGTTGGGAGCGGGCCCCCTCTTAGGCAGTCAGTGGGCCCACACTTATGAAAATTTCTGGATCCGCCACTGTTTTCGGTAGATAAAATTTGATTTGTCTCATTGATTGTTTAATGTACTATAATTGCGTAATCTCCAGTTGCAAATACAAGATAATTAACTAGTTAACATTTTGTCTCATTGACATCTACACCAAATGCTTATAATGTTGTATAAATAATTGTCTCATTGATTGTTTTGTATAATTGCTTAATGTCTAGTTGCAAATATTTTATGCATATTCAGGACAATTAATTCATTGACATTTTATCTCATTGACATCCACCCCAAATGCTAATAATCTTGTAGAAATAATTGTTATAAATACCTAAAAAGTCTCTGGAGTACTGAGTGGTCATAAAGGTAGCCACTTGCTTTGGTTCCAATGCTTATAATGTTGTCTGTTAGTTGATTGTCAGGATTGCTGTAGTCTAGAGTAGTTTGAACGAGTTTAGCATTGAAGGCACTTAAAATTATTGCTTATATCTTTTGGACAAATTATTCTGTTGATCCTATTTAGGCAGTTAGGACAGAATACCTCTACTTTTTGATGGTCACTTCACTAACACGCCAACATTCTCAGTCATACAGCAGGAAAGATTTCACATTGCTGTTGTGGATTCGCAATTTGGTCCTTAGACTGTAATGTCACTTTGACTTAGAGGCTAGCAGTAAAAGTGTTGTTCCTTTGCCTTTGGGGTTAGTTTTTAAAAGTACACGATGTACTGATTATGTGTCATGAATTAATAAACCCCTTCCCTCCTTTTCCAAACGAGACCAGGAATGAGGAAATCTAACAGTACACTATGTCCCAGATGAGACCAATGAGAGGCCTTATCATACGTCGCCCGGGACATGCATACCTTATAATGATTCTACCGATCAGACATTTAGTAATTAAGCTTCTAATACTGCAATCTCAAGGTCAGGCGACCTCTGCCAAATGGACATGCACTGATAAACTTGAAGGACACCACAGATACAGCCAGGCCTAAGCCATACCTTGTTTTACAGCTAAGTTTTGGGTTGAAGACTAGATTTTATTACATTTACGAAGTTAGATTACTCCAATTTTCCCACGGTAAACTTTCATTTTTTTATGTAGGCATTTTGAGTATAAGTGTTATAGTCAATCCGATTTTACAGAGCATGAATTTCCTATTGAATGAGTGTTATTGTTTACAGGGAACCTAGTGAACTAAAGACTCTTAAGGATAAAGATAAAATCATATCTTCGAAGGTTTCAAACACCATATTGACCTTTGCGTTTGCGTATTTTTGTACGCCGTGAGAGCTTTTAAAATCACGGAGATTTGTTCCATATGCTAGTATTTGTATTGAGCAAAGTAGATGTATAAAAAAAATCAATAAACATAAAACACAATAATATATGTGGAGTTTCTGTTAGCATAAACATCTTTGGATAC